ACTCTAATACTTCCTAGTGAACATCATCCTTCTGAAATTAGCAGCACACTAACTGAAGTTAATAACGATTTAATTCTCTCTAATCAACATAATTCTGAAACTACTAGCGAAAAAAGATATAATTAAATAATAAAACAAAAAAAAAAAAATTAAAATTAAATACATACATATTTATTTGAAGTCAAAATACAGGTGGAACCAAATTTTTACAAGATGCATTGAGCACTACTTCGATACTTCCTAGTGAACATAATCCTTATGAAATCAGCAGCACACTATTTGAATTTGACAGCACTTTAACTCCCTCTGATGATCAACATAATTCTGAAAGTTGTAGCATCTCATCTGAAGTTAGCATTTCTAACTGACATAATTCTATGTTTAATACTCAAGCAGTTAGTTCAGAACCCAATAGTAATATTCCTGCTAAACGGCTTCACTGCATAAATGATTCACAAACTTATGAATTTGAATTCAATGAACTAAGCTTCAATTTGCATGAGAAGCAATCTTTAAACAGGAAGAATGCATCTATTTCAGGTAAGGGTCATTATAATTTTTTATTGATTTTTTACTTAGTTTATCATAACTTGTGAATTTAGCTTGTAGCCCACATGAAATATTCTGTCATGATGCAACAATATTCGAGATTGCAACATGTGTTGCAAACCATCCTGAGATTCTCTCTATGGCCAATATGATGCATAAAAATAAACAAATAAGTTGGAAGCAACCTTTCGAAGAATTTACGTTAAGAGAGCCATCAGTATTACCACCAAATCAAAATAAAGAAAAACCATCAATCGGCGAAATGGCTTTAGAGGTATGTACAATCAGATTTAAAAAGCTCAATATATTGTTTACTATATATTGTGCCTGAAGTCACTTCTGACTATCCTACTATTTTTTATTTAGACAAGACTTCAAATCTGGCTTGAAGAGTTAAAATGCCTCTTTCTTCGAACTTGTAACCCATCACAGACAATATTCGATTGATTGGTAACAACATTACCACCAAATTCTAATCTTGTGGATGACGACTCCCAACAGCTTCTCAACAAATCTAAAACAATTTTTAACGAATTCCGGCATACGTTTAACAAAGACCTCCAGAATCTTGCTAAGCGCTATATCAAAAATCCTAGGTAACGACTAAACAATGCTAATTTAAGATATAAACCTATTTCGCCAACAAAGTTGGCTTAGCTTAGAATTAAGCCAGTTGATTTGGAGATAATTTAGTTAAGTTAATACAAGTAACTCTTGATATAAGAAAGCCTCCGTGTCCAGCCAAACTTTTTCTTAATATCAAGGTTTTCTTATATCGAAGCTTTTTACCATAAAAGTTTCAATTGGGATTTTTAAAATCTTTCTTCTTTCTTATATCAAGAGTATCTTATATCGAAGGTTTCTTATATCAAGAGTTACTTGTATTGGCAAAATAGTTGTCAATGAAATCTTTCAACTCCCTTATTGATTGTATTAACATTTATTTGTTTGCAGCAATAATAATATTGATATTCTGGACGAAAGCTTAATAAATAGATATGTTGATTATGATGTTACAACAAATGTGCTGCAGAAATATATTTCAAATGCTAGAGAATTGGAATTCACAGAAATGACACTAGATACATTAAAAAGGTTCGTCCAAGAAGCATTCAAGCTACATGTTATTCATGCTAAAAAAGAAGCCTAGCGTGAGTTTAGTGATTACAAGAAAGTTCTGAATAACGTTAAGCAACTGAATCCTATTACTCAAAGCACTTGATATTCCAACACGTGGAAAGCTAGATATATTGAGATTATATTCTGTGCAATAATAATATGTAGATTTGTTTCAGAAAAGTTCTAAAATTCTAGACAATGAATTCTGCTGTTCAATAAATTTTGCTATGTAAAAGTCATTTGTGCTAGTAATTGTATATCTTATAAGGACGGAGAAATTAGGTATTTTTTTATGTACGATTGCACAATTTGTATTATCATCAATTTGCACAATTTTGAAATAAAAAATTAACTATCCTAGCTGCGCGATACAATCATGCTCAAATCAGTCACAAGCATAAACTTTGTGAATTATTTATCGTTATTTATTTATTTAGAGACCAAACTCATTTTTGGCCTTGGGTCGCATATATTATTTTGATCGAAATTTTTATATTGATACATATTCTATCGAGGGAGTGGAAATTCCCTCAACTTCAGAAAAAAGCTCTTTGGTGGTTGAACATATCCTCTTTCTCCTAATATTGGTTTAATAATCACTGTGCTGCCTCCTCTGGAGTAGTTTGTTGTGAAGTAGTTCAACTTGTTCAATTGGATTATCACAGCAATTAATTATGTTGTACCGGACAAGTAAGCAAGATGCAACATGAATTTCAGGCTAAGTTAATAAATTTCATTATTAAAATGAAATGAACGTGTTTCAAGTAAATATTTAAATTTATCATCAATGGTCCGAAGCGCACTCTGTAAATTGTCCTTTAAGTAGTAAGCGACATTGTTCTTCCATGATAGCCCCCTTGAATTACGATAATGAAAAATTACATGACACTTAATATAGCGTGCATTTACTTTGAAACACGTTTAAATTCTGCTTTTTTGTCGTGTGCCTTGCCAACTTTGCTGCAGCTTCAATAGCTTCTGCACCAGAATTCCGGAAGAAAAACGAGTCAAGTTGAGTTGAAGGCATCACGGGTTTTAGTTTTCCAATAAGGTCCAGCATTGGATTATGAAAAACAATATTGACCTGTATATAAATTGTGACAGAATTCGCAACTTACTCTTTATTAAAAAAAAATAGTATTTACATCAGATTACATTAAGTTATATTCTCACTTGTGCATGATTCAATTTTGCAACTTGCTCCTGAGCGGCTTTAGATGACAATGCCCTTGAATTTATATCATTAACCAAGTAAAATAAATGAAATACCAGTTCTCTTATTTATATATTCAAAATTTTTTTTTGAACTACCAGAATTCTAATTGTAAAATGTATTTAACCCCGAATACTTGTAGCATAGATTTATATATGTAGATAGCTTAAAGTTATCTATATTAATATTTAATAATATTTTGTCATTGTATGTTCAATTATAATCCCGTTAACAACTACCGCCCTTCGCACATTTAATCTGACGCACAATTTTGTTTACATAATAAAATCAATGAACATAAGATAAGGTTTATTTATTATAAAAATCAGCAATGATTGGGAATTGGAGTTGAAAAGGATAAACATAAGGTGCTTCTCTATTATCAAAAATCTGCAGAAGTGAATGATGCTGGTGGGAAGAGAAGTTTGATAGTATTATCGAAGTGGAATTGGAGTAGAAAAGGATGAACATAAGCATTCCTCTATTATCAAAATCTGCAGAGATGTTGTAACAAGAAAAATTGGATAATGTGATGAAAAGGAATTGGGGTTGAAAAAGGTGCTGAAGGAACGCTTAATGTTGGATATGGTTATCAAAATGGAATTGGAGTTGAAAGGATGAACATAAGGCATTCTTTACTATCATAAATTCACAAAAATGAGAGATGTCGATTGAATATTTGCGCTGTTATGAATATGGAATTGGAGTTGAAAAGGACGAACATGAGACATTCATTCATTATCGCAAATTCTGCAATCATGGATCATGTTAGTGGAGCATATACGTGTAAGATATTCGTTTACTAAAAAAAGCTGCTGATATGGGTAATGCCATTGCAATACATAAAGTTGATTTTATTTAAACCACCAATTTTGCTATCTAGTCAAATTAAATTCAGGATCAGGTGCAACATAAAATCAAAACAAAATCCCCAAACTCTAATAACCCTAATGCTGTAGCAAAAATCATTTTATTTAGAGTCAGAAAAGTTGAACATTTGGTATTCAATTATTATCGAAAATCAGCAGAGATAAGTGATGCTAAAGGAACACTTAATATCGAATATTGTTATCGG